TAATGAAACATCTGCTAAATGACCAGCTGAACGAAGGTAAGCAAAATGTGGGCAAACCCTAGCGACACTATCAAAACATAGCCAAATGCATTCTATGTACTTGAATAAAGCGGCAGTGAATGGCCTTTATTGATCTGACCACATTTAAAGTGCCACTGTTAATATGCAAGAAGGCGGTTGTTCCAAGGAAACAAGTCCAATTCAGTGGGTGACAGCGGCAAATGAAGCACATCCGGTCGAACATATGCACCTCGTGCTGTGGCACGGGTGGAAGTGTGGGTTTCAACCGAACCGATATGGTAAGTCACATAGGTAGGCGCGAGGTGCCTATATCAAAGAGGCGATGGGTAAGCTAGAGAGTCATTTACGGTGCAAAAAGTAGACTGCTTACGGTCTCATTCACGGACATGGGACAACAGTGCAGCGGATGTATGGGGTGTGCAGCATGGTGGTTAAATTCATCCGTATACGTGTGGTGTTCAAAAAGAAACCGAACTTTTTAACTAAAGCAGCAACCGGCAGGGGGAGCGCACTGCGGCTACTGGCCGCTTGTGAAGGCTGCCTTACAGAACAATGTGCCTTTTGCCGCATTTCTCTTAAACTGTTGGACGCGAAAGTAAGCACGCATACAACCTGTTCGACGGATTATTGGCGAAGTGACAATGAAAGAGCTTGGAGAACAACGCGTTTGTCCGTGGAAACCTTAGCTACAAAAGTGGCATAACCATTACAGACATTTCAGTTGCTTAGACAAGCATACGGGAAGGACTGTATGAGTCGCAGGCAGTGCTATAAGGGGCTTAAGTGTTTTGAACACGCCAGAATCTCCGTCGGCGCTGAGCTCAAGCGTGGGCGAACTTCCACATCAACAACCGATGACCATGTCGACAGAGTTCATGTTGTGATCCGTGCAAATCATCTTTTAACGGTTCGAGAAGTTGCTGACGAAGCAGGTATCAACGTAACGTCATGCCCTCAAACACTAGCGCGTTCGAGGAATGCTGTGCACAGGAAGAGGAGGGAAATGTGGGAAAGCCAAACTTTGATGTTGTATCATGACAACCCTCCTTGTCCGCATCTATCTAGCGAAACATCACACTCCCGTTGTGTCTCGCCCACTGTACTCACCGTACCTAGCACTTACAGACACTTTCCTGTTTCGGAAACTTAAAAGCAGGTTGAAAAAACGTCGTTTCCAAACCATAGGGGAAATTCAGTACAATGTGACAAGAGACCTGCATGCCATCACATAAAATGCGTTCCAGGTGACTGTCCAAATATGGAAGCACAGTTGGGAACGGTGTATCGTCAGTAGAGGGGATTAGTTTGAGGGGGGAAAGTGATTAAAATGTTATGCAATGGGCAATAAGGGGGCTATAGCAAACCATTGATTCCTTTTTGAATACTCCTCATACGCGCTTGTGAGTTGGTCTTCTCGCGTGTCAACAGCGTTTTCACATATCTCTCGCATGGTTCGCTAGATTTAATTCCTAGGTTAGCAAGATGTCACAGACAGAATATCACCATCTCAATTACTGGCTGGATGTGACTGTCAACCATCACTGAAGAAGACGGGATGCACACTCTTCGTGATGATGCGAAGCTCAGGGAACTGTCTCATCCAGTGCAGAACGGGCTACGGCCCAGGCAATGCCCTGTGTACGTTTGATGCAGATGTTCATCCAAATTTGATATGGATAGTGTACAAGTTCAAGGCACTTTGGCCAGCTGCGAAACAATTGTGGCTCTCATCCACATATATGCTGGGCTCTAAAGTTGCAATGCAGCATTTTAAATGTATCTTCCTAAAGGTTCCGAGTACCGGCGAGTTTGAATCAATCAGCTGAGAAGAGCTACGTTTAGTTAATTAAGGAACCTTACTGTTACAAGACAGCACTGCGAGCCTGATGCACTCTGAAAATCCACAACCACGCATACTGATATCATAAACTATAATGGACGTCTACCTTTGTTTAAGATAACGGTACTCAAACAGGTTAGCTTATCCTAATTACCATCGTACTCTGAGTGGACACTTCAACTTAGTACTCTTCATGTAGTGACGCGGACGGAAAGAATCACAGGAGCGACAGAAAATCCACGGAAAGCACGTAAGAGAGAAACTAACGGACACCAGGGATGGAAAGCGACAAAGCAGTTCGATGCCTACGGAATAAACTTAATATAGTCTACGGGAAACGAAGGAAATCAAGCCCAAGTCAAGTAGAGTGGAGGACGCAGTGAGGCAAGCCCGATTTTCTAGAGAAAAGCCTGGGGTCACACCTCCAGGAAAAACCCCGAGGAGAACGTCGGAAACCCGATTGAGCAAGTCAAGAGCGACAGAACGAATCCAGTTCAATCAGAATACGACGGGAGAAAGCGAAGGTACTAGGGCAAGTCGGTGAAAAAGGCATCATGGTTTGGCATTAATCAAGGCATGAATGTGACACCGAGCTTGACGATCAGGTGTGGTGCGTTATGGGGTAGTCATGTCCTCCATACCTGTGCGCGCGTGTGCTAGCCGGGCAACCCGTTGTTCGTTGACAATAAAGACTGCTTCCCCGCCGTCTCTCTCTCCCTACATTTTCAGAAACATAGATCCTCAAATTCGAAGGCCGAAAGTTTATGTAAAACCTGCAAAATTTCGCGAAAGACGCACCTCTGTCGAACGCAGGGACAATAGTGTCCCTCCCACCAGAACACTAACGAAACGCCACTTTCATCGCCAAAGTTGAGCCGCTTACTCACCTGTACCCGACCAAGATGGGCAAGAAATCCATTTAGAGGAATGGATTGTTGATTGCTGTGAGCTCGCAGGCTGACATAATGTTCCGCTGCGATAACCACTCTTGAAAAAGTTCACTAAGTCAATAGTGATGGTTCGAATTTAAGTAACAAAGAGTATATAGCGCCACCATAATTTCCAAGGTGTGTTTCCTAACGGATAATACCAAAGCTAGATTTACAATACCGAACAAAGCGATATAAAATCTAGTATAGTCCGCAGGCGAGCTTATACAATCAGGTCCCAAGATAGAGGGATGAAAGTGCTGCCTCTCTGTACAAATATGTTGGCTGATTGTTGCTCGTTCATGTAAGTGTTAGGAAGGCGCTTCCACTTACCGGTAACAACTTCTAGATCTGATGCGTGTGTGATCAGTGTAAGTAAGAAAGTGGCTTGTTATTTATAATGGAGTGGTAGGACTGATTTTCTCTTGGAGTGCGGTGTAAATCCGAATGGTTACGAGCGGACGCCGAACAACGCATCAAAGTCCACAACCAACAAAATTTCCGAAACAGGAATATTTTGCTCACCAGCAACTTCTTGTTGCAGTGAAATTGCTGCTTCATACATTAGATTCTTTAAGCAAGTTTGAACAACGTTTACTCTGTGATATCCTTGTAATAGAACTTCAGCTAGCCCTGGCCTGTTTTAATACAAATTTGAACATTAAACGTCTATTCAGTGCGTTAGTGCACAACTCCGATACCACTACAATTGTTGGTACAGTTTTCCAGTATTTGTGATCTTATGGTTTCCAAAGTTAGTTACTGGTAATTGGTGGCTAAGCAACGGAAGTCATGACTCTGGGGATTAATCCTGTACTATACATGTTCGCAACACAAGTGGCATTACAAGTCGGTTATAGTAGCTACCACACATCCTTATAGCCTAAGGGCCTAAAGCGCTGGACCAAAAGTGGTGTTTTAGCTTTTAAAGCTCCACTGACTATGTAGAATGCTTATTACTGGCGGGTCCTGAAAGGACGTGGGGTTATTCCAAATCTTCTACAACCGTCCACTGAATATCCGGATGAATGCATCCAAAAGGGTTTAAGTTGAAATCAATGTATGCTTACACGTACGTGATGACACATTCTATGGTGAGTTCAACACTGTTCCTGTATGCTACATTGTTTTATAAGGTAATGACACAACTTTAGCTGCCATTTCCCTTGAAACATGAAATGACGTCATCAGCGAGCGGTGTTTGCGAAGAAAACGGGAATATACGTAGTGGCTTGTGTCAGCGCAGACCAAAAGTTATCACATGAAGACAAGGCTCAATGGCATCTAGAAATTCCTTTGTGACCACAGTGTATAGCCTGACCCGTAAAAATCTTTTGTTCGCGAACGATATCGGTACACTTTTTATACTCACTGGACACTGATAATTTTATGGAATAAAGGAGTACCAAAAAGTTTGAATGAGAATCAAGTTTTTCTAATTATTTTATATCGATCTGTGCATGTTGCCTAATTGGTAGCATCGGTTCCCGAAAGTCACGCACCAACATCATGCTAAAGGTATTGCATCAAAATAGAACAGCTCCGGCTTATTAAAAGTCAAGTCAAGGTAAGCTCCGTGTACCCAGATGGGAGCATTTTCAGCAATTTACAGTATCGATTGTGGAGTAAGTAAAATGATATCTTGATACATGTGAAATGTTATTAGTGGATACAGAAAAGGTAAAATGGCACATCGGTGTTACTAGAGTAAAAGGGTCCGCGTTTTTGAGAACTGTTTGCATACTGATAAACAGAATCCTCCTGCTTTTTCCAGCCAACAGAGTATAGTTTATGAGGACATCTCTACTTACTTATATTCAACTGGCCTAAAAGTCAGGAAACCAAAACGGACAGACCGCGAATATGCACAGTATCTAGGCTTGGTATTCAAAGTATCGGTCTTGTTGACCTGGGAAGTAATTGGACCAAAGAAGCTTTTAGATTTTTCTTACAACACTTAATACATGCGCATTAGATAAAGTACAAATGGTATTCGATGCAAAGGAAGAGGATATTTCAGCAACTCCAACGACGGTTATGTTAGAATAGGGGATAACTTGCAGTCTAATATGATCTAGACTAAGAATAATAGGGTAAAACCGGAGCGTGTGTTACTACTAGGTATTTTGTTCTAGATAGCCTGTTCGACCCATATCAGCTGCCTATATGTATCTACCCTACGAAGTGGTAACAGCTCGTATCGGTCTTTTATGTGGGGAGCGAGCGCTGGTAGCAGAATGGATGAACGGGTTGTTATCGAAAAACGCAAGACTTCGGAGGGTAACCCACGCGACAGCACTTTATTGTCCTCTAAGAAAACAAAATGGTCTCACATTCTAATCACCTAAGGGATAAACCCACGTGACCAGACTGTCTGTAGACTTCACACATTTGATATTTTCGATTCGTATGGGGTCCCACCTGACAGGCTGGACCAGGATTTCGCCTACACCCTTCCAAACGAGGTGACTTTTACTCGCTTGGCTCAGTTGATTACCAAATTGTAGAAGGTGGAACAGAACGGCAGTCAATTTCTGAACTGACAAGGAACTTAGCTTTGATGTTGCATTCTAAAGGAAAGACACAAATATATGGAGCTCCTTTCGACTCAGCGTCCATTCCACCTCAGTAAGCAGGATGCTTAGTGTAGTCCCTGTACATTGAGCCTAGTGGAAGGAGACCATTGCAGTGATATCCATTCTGCGCACCAAGCATCTGGGAGTGGCCGAAGAGCTGGATATCCCGCTTATTGCGTTCGTTTTACTGTTTGTGTTTGCATGTATTTTCGGCTACTTGAGGCGAGCACGAATATATTACTTACGCAATGATGGATAGGCTTCCAGTTGCTCGGTGTTATCCAAGTCAAAAGAAAAGTGATGTAGATCAACCTTACTACTATATCAGCTTTATGGCAGCCTCAGCTACCCGGACCAACCTGACAACATCGCAGGCGAATTCGGCAAACTTGCTCCAGCAATATAAATAAATACATTAAGATAAATAAAGATTTAGTATATTTTAGCCAGACGGAGCGGTACACCGGCCCCAATAATGTGGGAGGGCGATTCATTGTAGTAGTCATTGAACCCGTTTCAATAACGAATTAAATAAAAGTGTCAACTAGGGGGTGGGGGGGGGGGGGGGGGGGGGGGGGGGGGGGGGGGGGGGGGGGGGGGGGGGGGGGGGGGGGGGGGGGGGGGGGGGGGGGGGGGGGGGGGGGGGGGGGGGCAACGCATTTCGCGGATCATGTTTTAACGTTTCCTTCGAGTCCTAGACCCGCCAACTCCAGTGATGTGAAAACTTTAACGGATGTTTGTCATCAGTTAGGAAGCTAGATAAAAAACGAAGGACGACTCATAGGCATGCAAAGGACAGTCAAGGAATTTGGTTATGGTACTGTCATGGAGTATGTGAGTAGGGTAAAGAGCCTAGCAGTAAGCTATTACAAAAGGTTTCTTTAATACCAAGCTTCTGTCAGTGTTTCTACTTGTTTGCAGTGCAGTCAAATATTTTCAGAGCATTTGGTATAGTGGAGGAAGGTCCGAAGGAGATTTCGAAAGGTGACATGCTTTGTCACACATGCTTATCTGTAGGGGTAGTTTGTTACCACAAATAATGTACCTCACTAAGAAGAAAATCGATCGAATTTTATGACCTTGAAAGTTTTGTACGTACAAGTAGCCGCCATTTACGTGTGGGGTGGATTGCAGTCTTCGCAGGTTCAAGTGCGGTGCTGTCTCTGGCGTAAAGTTCGTTTGTTTATAATGTTGTAGAAGAGAACGAGGTTGGTTCGTTTAGAGCGTCTCAGGGCCAAAGTGGAGCCAGACTGTGCAGTTTTCGACACGCGCATCATAGATAAGTCAGGTTTGAGGGCCGGCGTCCCATGAGCAGTTGTCTGGTAAATGAGTCAGTTGGAACGGATTTTCCCCTAGAGAGCAGGTTCGAGTTCTTTCGTTCACAAAGTTGGCTGTGAAGGATAAGTACAAATACACCAGAGTCGGACCGATCACAGAATGTACTTGAATAGATTCAAAGTCTACTGTCAGCGTTGGGTAGGAAAGTTTCTGGTGAATAATAACCGCAATAGGCTCGCCTTGCATTCGAGCAACCTGCTAAACGAACAAGAGTTCAGGAGAAATAGAAAGAGTTGAGGACCTAATATATCTCCTAAAGTACCCGAACTGACTCAGACGTTGGGATACACGTTTACCAGGCAAGTATAATGGAGCCTTCAGGGATGCGGCATCTGTACCCAAGTACTTGGGAATTTCACTGCGGAGGAACTTCATAAATAAGCGCTCACTTAGTTATATATACGTGCGGATGGACGGTCTTGCACAGATGTTTCTCAAACACATATGTAGTTGGTCCGGATGAAATGAGTAAACCAGTTTGACATCATCTGCAAACAGAAATGGATGTCCATGCGACAAGTGTCCGAAAGTAATCGTACGTATATCCCTTATAAGGAAGCAGATGAAGTTAGCGCCCTCTAAAGTTATGGAAGCGATAACTGAATAAGAACCACCAAAATTGGCACTCCTTCCATTATGTAGCCATTGTTGGCCAGTGCTCTCATAGCAGGAATTAGCTAATAATCGCACATTGCCTCTGCCTCAGATCATCCGATGGTCGTGATGGTCGAATCCGGGAAGAAGATTGCTATGCTGGCATTGTAACGCGAGGGAGGGCGAGTATATGATGAGAACGCCGTGCGATGCCGGGGGAAAAAAAATACGAAGGATGCCTCAGATCCAGTCCTCGTAAGATATCGGACGATGTTCTTCTTGTCATAATCGCCGTCTAGACGGCTTTGCGAAGCAGCAGAGGAGAAGAGTTTATTAGGGCGGTAGCATTGACACTTCATTGCTGCGGGCCACCCTTGGTAGCTTAGGACCAATTAGAATGGTTGCTTCCTTCGAGCTGGCCAGCAGCCGTGTGGTAGCTGAGGTGAAAGTGCGAAAAATGTATACTAACAATAGCGAGGTTTTTGTCTCGAGTTTTATAACTAGTTGGTCGTGGATGCACGCATGTCTGGACTCTGGATGAGTTGATGGTTTTTATGGCTGCGAAGGCACTGTTGCACGCCATGCTTCATAACGTCACAGGGACACTCCCGTATAGGTGCGAGTCGTTCTTTTGGACGTGG